TCATGTAGCTTTTGCGCGAAATTCAAACAAACAACAGTCATGCTAATGAAGTAAATTTTGTAAATTTGCAAACTTAATCTTGCATACATTTGTTAACATAAAACCAAACTGTCTTTAACTTGTATGCTTGATAAATGTGATATATTATAAGCCAGTCCTTAATCAAGATACACAGTGCATAACTTTTGCAATAAAAGAAAATGGGCATTTTACTTTTGCTGACTGATTATCATAATTAAACTAACAATTTATTAATTTGTATGCATATGATTATTATTTTTTTATCTTTGGCTTTGTATTCATGGATTTAGGCAAACATAGCTTAAGCTAGCTAAATCTTGTGAGGTTAGTGATTCAATACATTCTAATCATTATAGTTTTAGTTCTTGTACAACGAAACCTCGTTAATGTAAATGCATTTGTAATGAAGTAGTTCTTCTGGATTATTGAGACATCTGGATAGTTGAATCGGTCACTTTGAATATAATGCACCCTACTAATAACGTATTATTGATCAATAAATGTAATGGTGCAAACTTGAAAGTACAGGCATGCAACTTATAAACAGAAAAGCAACTATGTTCAACAAACTTATCAGTTTATTTTATATGTCTCCAATAAATATACAACTTGCAAGATCAAAGTGGAATATTATGTTATATCTTTACATAAATCATTTTGTTGAAGTGAATGAATTGTAGAATACAAAATACATATCACATGTATTGCTTTCTTGTATAAACAAAAATGATATTTCTATGTGTCTTTGTTATTAAAGCACTAGGATTTGATATGACTGTATTGTAAGTCAGTCTGATAACCTATCTGTTATTACTTAGTTGTGTAGGATTTTTTCAGAAAGATTGTAATATACCAGTACCCAGAGTGTGTGAAGGTTATTCTTAGAACTACCCAGTGCCTCTGAAGGTTATTCTTAGAACTACATTCATAAACCAGTACATGCTACAAGTACAATCATGTTCTGATTGACCCATACTTGACTCTCTTTGTGTATGGATCACTATTAATATACCAAAGCTGTTAATAATTATACAACTCGCATTAATATATCGAACATTAAACACTTTGGTATTTATAGTTTCTAGCACAGTATATTATAATAACAGCAGTAGTTTTTTTTAGTTTTTCTCGCAGGTTACTCATTGGTAATAAATTTCTTCAAATTAATATGCTTTATTGCATAGAACAGATTATTTTTGTAGTTTTAAGTGAAGAAAAGATGAAAATTATTTAATATCAATGGAAACATTTTCTTGTTTTGTAGCTCAGAACATTCTCATGTATTAATGTTCATTTTCTTATTTACACAGATTCAATAGTTATCATTTAAATAAAAACAAAATGATAATTTAGAACAGTGATTAAAAAGTTTAAATCAAAATTTTCACCACAATTTGCTGCCACCTCATTATGTTGCATTATTTAATAATATCATTGTAAATTCAACACTTTCAGATATAGGTCAGTCTTTGTTTTTTAACATGTATAATCCCTCATGTTCTGTTCATCAAAATAAGTTTGAAATTACAAATATCATTTGAATGATTATTTAGATCAGCTGAATAATGTTGAGTCACGTGATACATTATGTTGGTTGTTAGGCTCCCATCTCCAATTTCGTGAGACTTGTGTGGTAATTATGATATAACAAGAATTTAATATTTTGGAAGCTTATCATTGAAGTCCTAAAAAATTCACTTTTGAGATTCGTCCAATATTTTTTATTTTTATTTTCAGTTTTTATACTTGTAAGAATCTGAACTTTTGTTTTATAGGTTGGATCATAGTTTTGTTAGTGTTGACTTTAATTTTCTCTTTTCACATATTGACGATTACATAAGTACAGTACACAACAACAAAAAGAAACACATCTATATTTGTTAACTATAATTAAAAGCATTTGCTTGTTTTGCCTCATAGCTTTCCTGGTGAGAAGAAGGATGTCAGTGCCTTTGGTAAAACGGAAAATATTTCGGATAGTAAGCCAAATAAGCCACCTGCAGATGATGATGATGACATTGATTTGTTTGGCTCAGATGATGAGATTGTGAGTACATGTATTATGCCAACTGTTTATGAAACTAGACAGGCATTTGAATATATTGTTGTTGTTTTTTGGTGTGAATGTTTATCGTTAAGCCACTTTGTAGTAAGAGTTGAAGATCGTACTGTGCTGCTGTTGAAGTGTCACAGAAAGTGCTGCACTTCGAGAACTTTCTATTGTTTATGAGATATGTTCCAGAATTCACATTCTCTTCTTAATCACAAACAAGAAACAAAAGCTGTATTTAAAAGTGAACACTGTTATTTGTGAACGTGAAACTGAAGAAATGTCATAGGTAATGCTGAAAATTAATATTATTAAATTTCAAAACCTTGTCAGATATTTTCTCTCAGGCTTTAAAGGTATAATATGTCTTTGTACACGACAAGTTAATTTATAAGCATAGTCACAGAACAGAATGAAAATATCCTATATGGCATTGCTTATTTTCTGAAGAAAACTTGAAACCCTTTCTTTCTGCCATTTTAAAAATACAACAATGGTATGGATGGGTTGTGTGTTGTTTTCAGTGACCTCATAGAAATATTTACCACCTAAAACTCCTGTGCATGGGCAAGTTCCATCATTAAAAAAAGTAAGGTTTTTACATGACTTTGATCTTGTTTCCAAACCAAAATGTTCAATGGGCTGTTAGTCAAATATTCATAAAAACAAGCATAAAGACAAAATTATTGTGATATATACAATATGTCATATCTTCACAAAAGTCATTTTGTTGAAATGAATGACTTGTAGAATACAAAATACATAGTACATGCATTGCTATTTTGTATATACAAACATATTTCATTGATGCTGATATTTCTACGCGTCTTTGTTATTAGAGCACTGGGATTTGATATGACTGTATTGTAAGTCAGTCTGATAACCTATATCTGTTAACTGTTATGAAAATAACAATAATCAAAAACCCTAATTTTATTAGTTGATTATTTTTGTGAGTTGTGATACTAATCAGTTACACCGAACAAACTTGTATTAGTCAAACATAATAATGAATAATCATAAGGGCAGTATTATTATAATCACTATTAAAGCCATAAATGAAACATTCCAAGAACTGAATTTACTGAGATGACCATAAGACTTTTCTTGAGGAACAAAGAAGGTAAAGGTAAATAACAGTACCTGAGTATGTGTCACATGAACAAAACTTAAAGAAACTTATTCACCAAGTTAAATATAACTACAGTTAAGGTAATTTATGTTTACACGTACTGGTTCTGTAGGGATAAAAAAAAAAGAAGTACAAGTCTTTTTGAGTGACTTTCACTTTGAAATGAGCTTAAGGGACATTAATAAAAATGTGTTTTTAAAATGCTGATCTTCTTTAAAATTCAAATGAGCACTTAGGATTTATAAAAAAAATTGTATCTGCCAAATCCTTATGCTGAGTGTTTAATTGTGTTGAAAATAACTGAGTTATGGGAGTTGTTTGTAGAAATTAAAGAGTTTAATTATAAGAAAGTTATTGTACTGCTGTACAAGTATCTGGATAAATCTCATTTAAAATACTTTGTGTAGTTTTGATCTTCTTACTGTTGGGAATAGTGCAGATATGAACTACTGAAATGACACTTGGTTTTAAAAAATTTAGCTTTGAACTTTTTTTTTTCTCTGGAGCATAAAACTGGGGATGACTTTAATTCTGGTGTTTAGAATTGTTGGGGTTTGAACATTGTGCCTGTCATGATATAAAAGACTGTTTAGTTTAGATATTATTGATTACTTTATTTTGTGAGTGAATATTTGATTATTGTTTAGTTTTTATTATAATAAGAGTTAAAAGCAGATGATTGTAGGAAGTTGTGTATATAATTCATTGATGTTGAGATTATCGATTGTTGGTGCAATAAATTGACGTAGAGAATATAGAGATTATTAGAAGGCTATGAATGCTGTATTAAAACATTTATGAAATGCACATGAAGTTATTGTTAGGGCTGAAATCACCACAAAATTTAGTGTTTTTATGTATAAAATTAAATAAATAAAACCTTTATTGAATACATTATAACTTTGAAGTTTTTAATGTGTGAATGCAGCTAAGGATTATTTTGTAAAAACATTTTAACTGTGTGGTGCATTTATTTTCTCTACCAAATTTTATTGATATAAGTTCAGCCAGTTCCTCCCAACAACTTGTGACACTAGACAGATAGACAAAATCTGCTTTGTATACTTAGAAGTTGTATCAAGTTGCATTTTTTTTACTTGATTGCTGATGCACAACTTGCCAGATAAAGGTTATACATTTTGTTCAACTATCACCTATCCGTCTATATTTTTTTGGCCATAAAGGATGGCATTTTTGTTCTTTAGTGCACTAAGAAAATTAAGAACAGTGGAAAAGATGCACAACCATACACATACATTAATGTAGAAGATGAAATGATCCTTGTTATTATTATTCTTTATGTTAAATATTTCCATAATTATTACAGCAGTAGTAACTATTTTTCATCAATATCTATAACATTGAACCATTTAGGTAAATATTATAGTTTTATTTTTTGTAAAATGTGCATTGTTTTAAGAGGTGTGTAGTGGTATACTGTATAACAATACTGATATTTAGACCATTAGTTGTGACATTAATAAATAGTATAGAACTATAAACATGTTATTGCGATGGATAGTAATAGTAGGACTTGAAGCATTGAAGTTTAAAGAACTATCTCTCAATCATGACTGTGTTTCATATGCCAACTAATTTTTCATCAGTTTCGTAAATTCTGATAAAAAAAGGTTATTCCAAATATTTTTGTGTGCGTGTGTGTGTGCCATTATTGCAGATATTTATCTTTGGGTTACATAATTTGAAGTTTCCTTGGCAGTTGTTGTAACTTGTTTTTTTTGTGTGCAATGTCTGGTATTATATTTTTTTCTTTTTGTTTTTTAATGTTGCATTTTTATCAATTTTGTAATTATACATTATTATTATTTTTTTTCAGGATGAAGAAGCTGAAAAATTGAAACAAGAAAGATTAAAGCAATATCAAGAAAAGAAATCCAAAAGTATGAAAAAATTTCATCCATGTGCTAACCAATGTTTTATATCTACTCTAATAGCACAGGATGTATGAATGTCAGGGTAAAAATTAGAAGCAGAAGTCACACTATTTAGTTTATTACTTTGTGCCATCATAAATTGTGAGAGGTTAAAGGTTCTGTATGTAATCCTTCTATCTATGTTTAATTGAAAGTTTAAAAAATGTTAGGGGCTGGTGTAAAATTTTACTTGGTGTGTTTTGTGTGTGATAAAAGAAATCATTCTTGTATGTGTCTAATATCATCCTTGATATATATGTCTTGCCCTGATGTGAAGTACCCAAAAACTTGTAACAGAAACACTACTAACTTTGCCAAACACTTCAAAATTATTAATAATTTTTTATTAAATTTTTAACTTTTCCCACATTTCACTAAAACATTTTAAGTTCCTGACTTATTTTGATGTCAGATTAATAAAATTGAACAACCACTTTCCATTAAAAATATTTGAAATTGTTTAAAGCAAGTTGCAGTTGAAAGCATGCACTAGCATACTTAGATGATTGAAATTTTGTGCGACCTTTACATCTTAAAAACTGTCTAGAATATGAGATAAGCTATTAGAACTTGGCGATTATTGGAATTTACTGTCCGATTAATCATCAGGTTTATTAATTAATAACACTCAACTTGTATAGTTGGAATAATTGAAAATATTAATAATCAAAAACCCTAATTTTATTAGTTGATTATTTTTGTGAGTTGTGATACTAATCAGGGCCATTTCATGAGTGTGTTGCTTTGCATCAATATCAATTCCAACATGTCAGCCCCTGCCGTCACAGTTTTTAAGACTAAAGTCACCTAAATGAAACTTTTCCATAAACTTATTTGATATTCTTTGTGGCTACAGAGGCATTGTTTCCCTTCTTGTATTCAAACAGCATTACATACCGAAT